TTAGGAGAATATTGAGCCCCACGTTGGGTGCCAGTATTGGTGAAATTATTAAGGCCACTCCACTAGTAAAAGGGAGATTTATTTAATGGCATAACTTACAAATAAAGGGGTAGGTAGGTTACAGGGTCTGTGAAAGACACAGCACAGTCCGGTGGTGTTCTCTGGAGAACTCTGCTCAGTCTACCTCCATCGTCCAGGGTCCAGGAAACAAGAGAGGGTGGCAAATCTGGATCTCAGGTCTTCAGGGCCCTCTCTTGGCCCCACCTTGTAGGTGTGATAGTTACCAAAGCCTCAATGGGGGTTAAAACTTCGAGACCAAAACTGGAATGGCTACTGACTACACATGCATGTGACCCAGCCAGGCCAATTGCAGAGTGGCTATGGGACTATCCTACCTGATCTGCAGGAGCACATCGTTTCTTCACTCATCACAGTGAAAATGGAAACCTACTCTGTATGTATATTACCATCTTCTCTTCTCTTATACATATTCCTTCCTACAAATTTGAAGACGACCCACACAGCACTGGGAGGGAAACCTGGAGCACTGACAATCATACTGCTTGCCATGAGTAGGAAGCTCAAGAGCAGTACAGTGATTTGAATAAAAATGGCCCCCATAGACTCAGATATTTGAATGTTTGATTCCAAAGTTAGTGGAACTGAGGAAGAAAGACTGGGAGGTGTGACTTTGTTAGAGAAAGTGTGTCACTACAGTGGGCTTCGGTGTTTCAAAAGCCCAAGCCAGGCCAGTCTTGTTCTCTCTGCCTCCTGCCTGCATATCAGGACTTAAGCTCTCAGTTACTGCTCCAGCACCAGGCCTGCCTGGCAGCTTCCATGCTTCCCACCATGATGGCCATGGAGAGACCCTTTGAAACTGTAAGCAAGCCCCCAATGAAATGCTCTCTTTTGTAAGTTTCCTTCATCATGGTGTCTCTTCACAGCAATAGAACAGTGAATAAGATAAGGAACATCAGAGAAAAATCTGAGTAGACAAGAAGTAGAGGTGGCCAGAGGCACAGTGACCCCAGTCAGGGAGTGGTGCCACCTTAGTTAACTCAGCCTAGAAACTCCACCACAAACATGACAGAGGTTTGTCTCCTAGTCCATCCTGTCAAGATTAGAGTATGAACTATCACACACACCCAAGATCCCAATTTGCTTCTAAGGGGGGCTAGTGTGTCTCACCTTTAGACCGTCACACAGTGGCCTCTCGGGACCTCCTTGCAGGGAATCTAATCCTGACACACATTGCTTGGCCTCAGCAGCCTCCAGGAACCTTGATGTAAGTTTCTATAGTATTGGGATATTTGATGTGGTGGTTTGAATAAGAATGGCCCCTATAGGCTCATATATATGAATGCTTATATATGAATGCTTCATCACCAGGGAGTGGAGTGGCACTACTTGAGAAGGATTAGGAGGTGTGGTCTTGTTGAAGGAGGTGTGTCACTAGGGATGGGCTTTGAGGTTTCAAAAGCTCAAGCCAGGTCCAGTGTCTCTCTCTCTCTTCCTGCTACCTGTGGATCCTGATGTAGAACTCTCAGTTACTCTCCAGCACCATGCCTGCCTGCACACCACCATGCTTCCTGCCATGGTGGATAATGGACTAAACCCCTGAACTGTAAGCAAGACCCAATGAAATGTTTTATTTTATAAGAGTTGCCATGGTCATGATGTCTCTTCACAGCAATAGAAAACTGACTAAGACACTTGGGAAAGAAGGTTCCCAGGAGAGGCAGAAGCAATGACAGGGTGCTGCAAAAAGGTTCCACTTTCTTTGGCAGAGATGTAGATAGACAACGGGGAATTGGAAATTATTTTTGTAAAGCCATACAAAACCAGTTTTAAATCTGCTAATTGACATGTTGGGCAAGTCACTATATCTCTTATTTCTCTATGTAATCACCTGTGAAGCAAAGGTAATACCATTTTTGAAAATGTATGTGTTTGTGTTGTATGTGTATGTGTGTGTGCATATGTGTGTGTACAGTGTGTATGTATGTGTATATGTGTGTGTGTTGTGTGTGTGTATATGTGTGTTTGTATGTGTTTTGTGTGGATGTGTTTGTTGTGTATGTGTGAATTTGTGTATATTTGTGGTGTATGTGTATGTTTGTGGTGTATGTGTGTATGTGTTTGTGGTGTGTATGTGTATGCATGTGTGCTTATATAGGTATGTGTTTGTGGTGTATGTGTGTGTGTGGTGTGTGTGTGTGAATAAGTGTGTATGTGTTGTGTGCATGTATGTATGTGTTTGTGGCTGTGTGATGTGTGTGTATGTGTATGTGTGTGTGTGCGTGCGTGCGTGTGTGCGTGCGTGTGTGCGTGCATGCGTGCATGCGTGTGTGTGTGTGTGTGTGTGTGTGTGTGTGTGTGTGTCTAAGGTCCCAAGGGTGCCTGGCATATAGTAGTTGCCCAGTGAAATTTTCTTCCCCTTTCCTTCTTTTTGCCTCATAGTAATAATCATGTTTTGTTCTCCCAATGGAAATCCAGAAGGAAAGAGCTATGTGGCCCAAAGCTACACTCACTGTACTTCCCAATAGTGCCCATTTCCTTCTCAGCCCTGATTCTCCTTCCCGCCTCTGCTGTTCCGATTACTTCTCATCCTTCATCCAAATCTTGTCCTCCCAACTCTTTCTACAGAATATTTTCTTGGATGATTAATTTGCACCTAGGTTTGGCCTGAAAGAATGTCTAATGACATCCTTTCTACAGAGAATATTGTCTCTTCCAACAGAGAAAATGGAAGGAAGCCAAAAGAGGGAGGCCAGGGTCTTGAGGATGGAAAAAGAATACGGAAAATATAAGAGACTTATTGTTTCAAGGGCTTTCCCCAAGAAATATATTAATAGCCACAGGAAAAGACTAGCGCACACCAGACATTGTATTTACCAGTCACTGCGCCGAGGTTCTCTATTTTTACTATCTTGCCCTCCCATGCGTCCTTCTCCTATGGTCAAAATGCTTCACAGCCTTCAAGACTCAGCACAAGAGCTTTTTGGCTTCACATGAATCAGTTCATGTGTCTGACCGAGGCCAACAATGGGTGTGACTACAGTGCTGAGCAGGGCAGACGCCTAAAAAGCTTCGGAGAGGACTGTCGGGGGTCCCTTATGCCCTTTTAAATTATTTATGTATTTATTCTTTGGTTTCTTAAGATCTTGCCACCTACCAAGGCTATATTTTAACTCATTATGTAGCCCAGGCTGGACTTGAACTTATGATAATCCTCCTGCCTCACAAGTACCAAGATACTTGTGTGTGCCACCAAGCCCATGTTTGTTTGTTTGTTCATATTAGTGATTGAATCCCAGACTTTGCACATACTGGGCATGTGCTCTACCACTGAGCTACGTCCCCAGGCCTAAGATTCTCCTTAAATATGGTATTTGTCTCCTCCCTCTGCTCCCATAACTGTTACTACTGCTGCCACAATTACTTTTATGTCTTTCTTCCTTTTTTAAACACCTGTAAAGTGGCTCAGTGGTTAAGGCCACTGGCTGCTCTTGCAGAAGACCTGGGTTTGAATCCCAGTACCCACAAGGTGGCTCACAACCATCCTTAATTCTAGTTTCAGGAGATTTGATATCATCTTCTGGCTCTGTGGGCACCAGACACACATGTGGTACACACAGATGCAGATGTATGCATATACATACACATGCGGAAATAAAAATAAAATTTAAAGAATTTAACATAAAACTCTATGAATCAGTGTGACCAAATAATCAGTTTGCCTGGTCTTAGCATGGAAGTACTGTATATTGAGAACCTGCTCAGTCTCTAGCACACTAGCACACTGGGCAGTAACAGTATCAATACAGGGACCAAAAATAAAAAAGACTTTTACAAGCAACTCTCTCAGCTTCTGTTCTTCAGATATTCACCGTATACCAGGTTCCTCAATTGCTCTAGCTAGTAGCATCTATGTGATGTCATTTCACTATCCTGTGGACCCATGGCTTTTACAGCTTTTCCTTGCTATACCCTAGAACGATATCACCCCGTGAAATTAACTTGATTTTATAAGAACTGCTGTATTTATATTGAGAAGCATTGTAAGTCTGTGCAAAAGATTTTAAAAGTACACGCTTGTCCAATTTTTAAGTAGAAATTTATATCTAGAGACTGGTTTGGTGTGGGCAGTAAGTAATAAAATCCTTCAGAAACCCACCCTGCCTTTTCTTTCCACTGCCTGCTAACCTTTAGCAGCTGTGACATTTTAAACAACAATTGCACATATGTGAGTATCAGGGCCACCTAATCCAATTCTATTAACACCTTAGATATTCCTAGTTAGTAAGGATCATTTATTAACACAGTTGAAACAGAAAACCTCTGGGTCTGCAAATGGAGCTCAGTGGTATACAGTGCTTGTTTAATGTGTGCAAAGATCTGGGTTAAATGAACAGCATTCCCCAAAATAACATGAATAGACAGATAAATAGATAGATAGATAGATAGATAGATAGATAGATAGATAGATAGATAGACAGACAGACAGACAGACAGACAGATAGATAGATAGATAGATAGATAGATAGATAGATAGATAGATAGATAGATAGATATAATATTTGTAATTTCCACTGATTGGTTGTGCCCTTTCTAACTTAGGGACTCAGAAAGTCAAACCCACATTCACATAGCAAGTAGCCCTTCAAGCACTGAAAATGTTTACGTACCTTTCCTCTTGACCACTTCTTCTAAGAGTTCCTTCAATTTTGGCCATGATAATATGATTTTAGGATCTTGGCCACTGTCCTCTAAGTCTGTTCCACTTCCCTTCCCTTCAACACTGCCTGATCTGAACAGTAGTGTGGAACTAACCCTCCAACCTCTTGCTTCTGGAGTAAACTCATAACTATATAGCCAGTGACCGTGTGTGTGTGTGTGTGTGTGTGTGTGTGTGTGTGTGTGTGTGTGTGTGTGTTGCCACTTTAAGCATCATACACAGATTCACTAGGTGGATACATAACAAAGACAGTTAAAACCACTAGAAGTCAAGACATTTACCTTTATTTAATTTGCAGTTAAATAGCATCTCTCAAAATTTTATATCCACTTGGAAACTCAGACTATAATATTACATAAATAGCTACTCCAGATGTAAGCTAAGGCTCTCTAGGCTGAGGGCACGAATCCATCTTGCAAGTGGAGAAAACAGAGGAGACTAACACAGAGGAGAGACGAGATGAAGACGCAGGGGGTGACTTCAGGGACCTTTCTTGTTGCCGTGACCAAATCCCCGACAAAATCAACTTGAAGAACGCATTTCTTGGTCAGTTCAAGAAAAGATACAGGTCGCGAGGGCAGGGAAGGCATGGCAGCGAGAGTGCGAGGAAGCAGCATAACGAGTGCTTACACATAGTTCCAGGACCCCAGCCCATAGGATGGTGCCATGGGAGGGTGGGTCTTCCTTCCTCAGTGGCACTCCTCTGGGAACACTCTCAGAGAGACACATAGGTGACTCCAAATCCAGCCAAGCTGAAAGGGAAGACAAACTATCATAGGAAGATGCTATGTAATGATGGAGGCAGAGACGAGAGTGCATAGACTGCGGAGGGCGGACAGGAAACCCCAGCAACCTCCACAACTGCACTGGGAACAAGGACAGCTTCTCTCTGGTGGCCTTCAGAGAAAGCATGGCCGCCTACCTCTTGACTTCAGACTTTTAGTCTCCAGAACTGGGAGAACAGATTTCACGGTTGTAAGTCTTCCGGCTTGTGGCAACTTGCTGCCTCTCGTAGGTCAGTACAGGTGTATCACATCTTGACTCTTCCTCATGTACATTCATCCTAAAATGATGCTATGAGATAATTGAGGAAATATTCAACAAAATTAGGAGAGCAGGCTTCAGAAAAATGTTTTACTACTCACTGGTTGTATGGCATCAAAAAGTAACCTGGGTCCTCAGATCCTCAGTTTGATCACTAGAAAAAAATAGAAACACAAAGATGAGGCACACAGAATCAGTTTAGTGACCAAGAGTGGTAAGGAGCAGGGAATTTTACAAACTTCTCAGACATCAATTATTTGATGCTTGCTTGCTCCCTGCCCCCCCCCATTGTTGTTGAGCCAGTTTTCTAGAGGGTTCTATTTTGTTTCCCTATGCATTCTCTATGAATTCTATGATGTTAGTGGTTTTCTAATTAGGTTTTTAACCTTGTGCATTTTTGGTTTTGTTTTCCAGCTTGTCTGGGTTTTATTTTGCATCTAGTTTTCTAAATTCCTTGGTTAGATATTTAGTCGTTTACATCTCATTCATCTTAATTTTTAGGTGTAAACACAAAGGCTATGAATTGACTTTTGACTATGACAGTGGCTGTATTCTGTTTTCATATCAGGTACTTTCATTTTCAGTTTATTAAATGGTTTACAATTGCATATTTTTATATTTTTTTCTGAGTTACTATTAGTGTACTACCTCACATTATACCTTGGTCTAACTGATCTAGAAATGTGTTATCATTATGCAGAAGCTATAAAAATTAAAAGTTTCAGCAAACAGCCTTCTCTATGGCATCTTTTAGGCAAAATATATCATGGCTGATTTTATATATATATATTCTTATTGTGAAAGCAGCAATCCCAGAATGGCAGCAGCTTTTGAGATTCAGATATTTTTTTAAATGGTTACATTACTAAAATATCTGAGTGTGTTATACTCAGAAGTTAAAAAAAATCCTACCCATATCTTTGTTATCAGCACTGTCCAACAGCATTGACCTTGGCTTTTGAATTATGTTCCCAGGATTCCAGAGTAAGCATCAGTCTTTTTTAAGGTTTAATACAAAGCCCATTTCTCTGTAAAGTCTTCACAAACCACACTTTTTGTATCATGTGCTTTGTCTACTAGTCTAGAATTTGGCTCTGGCTAAGAAACCATACTGTAAACTCCTTCAGAGTTAAGATCATGTCACATACTTCTTTCTACACCTTCAGATAACCCTCACTTCTCCCTTCTTTAATCATATAACAACAAGCATCAAGCGCCATGAGTGTTTGATACCACATTTTACAGGATACTTATGAAAGTGTACTCCAAAATATTAGGTCTCAGGTTTAAAGCTGGACAGCGGCACAGTCAAAATAAACTTTCAAAGGTTAAAGTCAACACCCGAGATGCATGATTTGAATATCCTCAAATTTAAGAAATACACATTTGGACCACAGGAAGCAGTAACAAATGTCAGGCTGACATGTCTACCCACCACAGCACACACACACAGCTCATGTTCTGACAAGTGTAGTCGATGTACGGTTTACTTTTCCAGTTGCTGTGGGAACAGCAACGTAAGGAAGGAATAGTTTCTTCTGGCTCCCAGTAGAAAAAGGGACTCAGTCCATCACAGCAGGGAAGGCCTGGCAGCAAGACCATGAGGCAGATAGTCACACTGATCTACAGTCAGGATTCAGAGAACAGACAGGAAGTGGGGCCAGGCTACCCACCCTCAAGGCTCACCCCTGTGACTACTACTCCAACAAGACTGCCTCCTCAAGGTTCCATGACCTTTCCAAATAGCTCCACCAGCTGGGGACCAACTGCTCCAACACAAGCGCCAACAAGGGACCTTTTTCTCTTTAAATCACAGCAGTGGTGACAGCAAGGGGCTCCGAGACGAGTCAAAGAAAAATCAGCACACGGGTGAGACAGTGGCCAGCTCAGCCTACCCTCTGTGCATGCTCACGGATGCCCACAGAAGATCTGTAAAGAAGACAAGCAAGACCATTATTTGCATTCGGAAAATGGGTGTTTAGGGTTCAAAAAAGATTAATCTTTCCAAGGTCATAAAACAAGCAGACAGCTGAAGTAGAAGCAAGCCAAGATCTTCTGTGGTCTTGTCCTCCTTCTCTATTCTTTAGGCTACAGTGACTCTAAATTGATTTAGGAACTCTAGACGCAAGTCTCCGCACTTCATCGCCAACTTGAATGACCAGATTGACACCCGTGGAATTCCCTTTGGAGACACTAGAGAGTAAACACACAATCCCTGCCCTCAAGAAGTCCACAGATTTGTCACGCCGTAACCGTAACACACAAGACAAATCATACCTGCTGTGAGTGCTATGACAAAATTGAGGTAATTAAGAAGGATATTAAGCAACATTTGTTGAGCATTTACTATGCACCAGGTTCTGTCTTAAACGCTTTGCTATGCAGTGAGGAGCATGATACACCCCACCACTTAGCTCACAGCCAGAGCTTAAGCATTGGCAGATACCTTGACTATATCCTTAAAAAATAAGATCAGGGGTTCTCACCCACAGAAAAAAAGGAAAGAATACTTTATATTGAAATTACCTAGAGTAATGCTGAGGAGAAGCAACTGATCTCTTGAGAAATGAGCTCTGAGGGAGAGACGATGATAGACAAGTATACACAGCCTGTGGGGGTGGAATATTCTTCTAATATCATAGGAGCACTGGCAAAGACTTGGGGCATAAGCAGCACTGAGGGAGAGGCATGGAGAGGAGACATTATTTTAGGACAGCCAGAAACTGACTCCAAAGGGATGGCCTGTAGTTAGAGCCCAGAGAGGCTGAGCTCTCCCCGGCTTTGACCTCGCTCCAAGGGAGGCACAGATGGCCAAGGCTATTTGTTTGTAGGTTACATTTTTCCTGAACAGATTCCAAATCCTAGTTTCCAAAGAAAAGAGAAAACAGACTTATTGGGCCAAAGGCTTTCCCTGAAAAATGTCCTTGTGGCGATGTGCCAGCCCAGGATTCCCCCCACAGCCCAGACCAGCAGTCGGCAGGCTGGAGCCTTCCTCAAACCCTTCAATAAGGCAGGGATTAGAAGTCATTCCCTGGGAGATTTTCAACAGAGTCATGTGCCCAGCAGCTCTGCCCCAGTATTTAAGCCCGCCTAGCTTTGGCATGCATCCTGGTGACGTCTCTGTGCCTCACAGGCCCGCCCTCCCCTTTCCTGTTTGGCATGGCCCTGTGCTTCCTGCCAGGCCACATCTCCTCTGAGTGTTCCCTAAGAGTGGTGTTCCCAACCCTTGACCCCAAAACCAGGGTAGGTTGTGGCTTTGACTTCGGTGCTGGACAGAGCCATGGAAGTGACTCTGCTAAGCAGCCTTTCCGCTGCCCTGTAAGGCAGTACTGTCTACTCTCATGTCCCAGCACCCCCTGCACACACATCTCCTATCCACGAGCCAGTCCCAAACCAAGGGTGGGAGGACAGGAACTGTCCACCTGGGTGCAGATGGTAAAAGGATCTAGGGGTATTATCTGTTCCAAACTTTGAAAAGTAAAACAAAATTCAATGGGTCAGGTTTTGTTTCGTTTGAATCATGCACAGGAAGTGGGGGTTGGGGAAAGGATATTTTTTTTTCCTGACACGTGGTTAGGAAAGAATAAGGGCTTCTAAACTAGAGGCCTCTGCTCAGATCCCTGCTCTGCTGGCTCCTATCTCCTGTGTAACCCTGGGTGAAATGCCTAACCTCTCTGACCACTGTAGACTCAGGAGTTTGTGGTAAGGTCTCAGCAGCAGAGCAAGCATTTGGTATGTATTACCGACATGAGGCGTGAGTTCAACGCTGTCCATTTCTTCTCATGCCACCCCTTCCTCCCTGGGATCTGAAGGCAGCCGTGCCGGAGCGCTGGTCTGTTTTACTTCACAGGCTGTTTGTCACATGTGAAGCTGAGTCACCCTGAGTTCCTCCTGCCTCGAGGCTGTGCTCTCCTGAAAAGGATGTGTGGCTGTGCCAGCCCCAGGTTCTGAGTGGACATGCTGTTCTGGGAATCGCGCAAAAGCTGACACGGGATGTGAGGCTGCTCACACAGGCCTGGGCCTCAGTTTTCCTAGTGCTTCTTTGTGCTAAGGCATTTCCAATGAGGACAGCGACGTGTGAGCCTAATGGCTGCCAGGAAGGGCAGGAGCATTCACGAGAAACAGCATGTGCGGCACCCATAAGAACCCCAGTGGTCTTCTAGGGGACAAGAGATAGACTAATGACCGAGAGACAAGGAAGAAGAAAACAGTACTGCCGTCCCTTTCTCTTCGTACTTTATAGGACGGCTTTCATCCCCGCTCTCAAATGTTTACTTGTTTGGAAGGGCAAGGTCATCTCCACTTCCAGATGAAAAGTAGAAGCTTCAGTGAAGTGACACTACTTCCTGAGGTCACACCAGTCAGCTGTGGTCTGGTGTGGCCTTGCCACCTGCACTCATGTGGCTCACACAACAAACAGCTGTGAGTGCCCAGCGTCCTACTGGCTGGAACACAACCCAGGGGAGGAGGTGGGGTACGCGTGGACCTCTGCCTCACAGATAGAGGATCAGAATTCAGAGAGGGCAAGGTGGACACAAGAAAGAGGGACGGAACTCGGGCCTCAAAAGGGGCACACAGCACCCTCTCTGGTAGAGGGGCATGGGGAATCATTCACTTACTCTTTCAGCAGCAAACTTACGCCGGGCTGCCGAACACTTAGACGTGTCCTGCTCATCAAAGTCAACCCCCTCCAGTAGCTCTGATTCCCCGTTAGTGCCACCACCAAATCCTGGTATGAAAACCTATTTCTCACTTGCTGTGGTGCTGCATGCTGAAATCCCCGCACTTAAGAGACAGCGGCAGGAGCAGCTCAAGTTTGAGGCCAGCCTGAGCTACATAATGAGATACACAGGGAGAAGGAAGGGAGGGAGGGAGGGAGGAGGGAGGGAAGGGCGAGGGAAAAGAAGGGAAGAGGAGAAGCAAGGGAAATGGGGAGGGACACAGGACCAAAGACTGATTAACCAGTTTGTTCTGGTAGAAGCCCCACCTCTGCCCAAACGCACCTCCTCAAAGCCGGCCAAACAGCAGCCCCTTCCCCTACAGCTGCCCTCCCATTCCAGGCCCCGCCCCCTCAAAGCCCACCAAAAGCCAGCCCCTCCCTGGGGCTGCTCAAGACCATGCCTCCAGGGCACTTAATGCCTGGTAGTCATATTTGCCATGTGACCCTTTTTCTGTGACCCTTCTGTGACTGCCCGGTCCGCCCTTAAATACGTTCTCCTTCAATATGCCCTGCCACACCTTCCCCTCTCCTAAAAACTGCTTTTCCCAAAATTCTCACCTTGCTGTTCCGACTCACTTTCCCTTCACAGTACCTTCTTTGGGCAGTGGGCTGCCCCAGCCTGATGGGAGCTGCATCACGGCCAGGAAGCATATTTTATCCCTGTGCCACTTTATACCGTAAACTCTCATTTAAGGATTTTAAGTTGGTCATTTGACACGGTTTCCCGGGAAAAGTTTGTAGTCTTCCTGTTAAAAGTTTTTATTTTTGTTAAAAATTCTGTCTTCTTTCTGTGTACGCGTGGAAATGTATAAATGTGTGGCCACTCATGCTTGTTTTAACTTGTCTTGGATGTCTGGATTTGCGTGTCCTGTGTGTCTTGGTTATAGCTCAGCTGATTGTAATTACAACTAGCTGCCCAGGCTCAGGATCCATCCGCCTGTGGGCTTTGGGGAATCTGATGATACACCTAACAGATTTTGTCATTCCCCTGGCCCCTAGTCCTCAAACACCTTGAGAGATCTGAGAATATGACATTTAATATAAAAGCTTTTTATGATAGAGAGACATGTCAGCTCCTGGCAGCATCCTGTATCTCCTCCAAGAAGACAGATGGACGCAGAAGAACTTCCACCTGGAGGATTGCTTCAGGTGTGACAAGGCCGGCCATGCAGCAAAAGGCTGCCTTAGACTGCTGCTGAGACCCTGTCCAGGCTGTGAATAAATGAAGCAACGGGGCATCGATTGCCCCATGCTGCAAGGTCAAGGTGGGCCAATCTCTCCAAATTCCTACTCCACAAAAAAAAAAAAAAAAGAAAAGAAAAGAAAAAGAAAAAGAAAAAACCTATCAGACTTTCTGGGCTTAGCTTCTGTTCCCCAACAACCACAGAGAGACTTGGGACTGCCAGCTGAAAAGCTGTCTCACCTCTGCTCATTTACCTATCCTTCTCAGATCTGATGGTGTTTGATTACCAGGCATTAATAGACTTGTCAGGTTTACAGCTCTTCCCCAGCCCCCAAGGCCTCATTCACAGACTCCATACAGGATAGCCTTTTGCTATGACATCAAGATATAAATCTGTTCCAGTTTTACACATTTACAAGTTCCCGCACAGGTCCACCCCTCCTGCCAGACTCGTGCCAAGGCCAATCCACAGGATGCCCTCCAGATACATCAGGCTCCACACCAACTTTGAGGACACCAACCAGGTGAGGATTGGCAGAGAAACAGCAAATGTGGTGGCCCAAGTACTCCTGGAACACATCACTCCTAGATTTGGCCTGCCACAGACCATACAAATGGACAACGGGCCAGCCTTCACTTCCAGAGTCATGGAGCTCGTGTCGGAAGCTCTCAATGTTTCCTCGAAGCTCCACATTCCCCATCACCCACAATCCTCAGGAAAGGTTGAGATGGCCAATGGACTCATCAAACAACAGCTCACCAAGCTCTCCATTGAACTCAGCAACTTCCTTCTCTGCTTCCTCAAGAAACAGATGCCCAAGGTCTCCAGGATGGCAATTAACCAGATGCTCCTCCACTCGCACCTCCTGCTGAATGTGAGCCCACTGATTCCCAACTCTGCCCTTCCCCACATTGCCCCATGCCTGCAGGAAGTAGCCAGACTTGAATTGGAGCCCCTATACCCAAAGAGTCTGGAATGTTCTGGTGGAAGCCCTACCTCTCTCCCCAGACCCTGCCCCTCAGAAAGTTCTAACAAACACGGCTCCTCCCCTAGAGGAGCTCAAGACCACTCCCACAGGGTATTTAAACTGCCCCCCACCCCCCGAAAAAAGACCAGACATGTGGTTTTTCCATCTCTCTTCCATCTCCCCTCTGGGAGGGTGGAGAATCACCTGGGAATGCTTTACCCATTAAACCAGGGCTTTTTCTAATTCGGTCTGATTCGGTCTGATTTGGATTGTTGCACTGGCGGAGAGGCTTATCAGGGTGCCGAAACTTTTCACAGTTGAAGTGATGATAAATTGAGGTGAATGTAGAAGACATAGGCAGGAAGTCAAGAGTTCAAGGTCATCCTTTGCTATTAAATTGAGTTCGAGGCCAATCTACCTGCCAATCACCTTGCCGTAGTCCTTCTGGTGATACGTATCACTATGTGAGCTGCTGTATTTGGTGCTTACGCATCTACCATGCTTCTCGTCCAGGAGAAAGTCAAGTCCACTAAAGAAGCTACTTGTTCTGTCTGCTTCCCTGCTAAATCCATGGTACGAGTGTCTGCAGGGACTGTGTCCACTTCTGTTAAAAAGAGGAAGAAAACTTACCTTCTTCTGCCTCGTATTTATGAAATCAAACCTTTCCGGGGAAGGGATTATAAGGACGAATGCTTGGAGCCAGGGAGACCTGTAGTTACTGAAGAACACTCAACCTCAGAAGCCAGGCATAATTCTCTATTGCCCTTAAGAAGATAAGGCCTGGGTGAAGACTCAAGCCATTAAAATAAATAACCTGGCTGTGTGCAGTGGCCCACTCTGGAGGCTGAAGCCAAAGGGAGTAAACTTTTGAGGGTGCCATGAGCTATGTAGCAAGTTCCAGGCTGGCCAGAACTACATGGCAAGACCCGATCTCCACAAAACAACACATGAAAAAGTAAAATTAAATAATATGTCAGGGGCAGTGTGTGGAAGCGTGGCAATGTGGTATTGCCATACGGTATGAGGTATGTGGGAGTGTGTGTTATATGTGGTATGGTGTGTGTCTGGTATGTGGTATGTGTGGCATGTGGTGTGTAGGGATGTGTGAGTGTGTGTTCTTGGGGAGTGTGGGATGTGGAGGGTATGGAGTGTGTGTAGTAGGGGAAGGTGTGACAGGGTGTGGAGTCGGGGGAGTTGAAGGGAGATAACACATGTGCATGGTGGGATACCTATGGGTGTCATAGGCAATTAAGAGAGATTTGTAAACAACTTTTAAAGGGTTAGCAAGCTTGAGAGATGGCCTGACATAAGCAAGAGGATCAGTCAGTGCTCTTCATTAGGATATAGCCTGAGAAAGAGTTTTCTGGTGAATCCAGCTGACCAAGAAACCTGTGGAGGAGGAAGAGAAGGTTATTTCAAACAGGGGAGCAAAGTCATGGAATGATGACAAATCCTGGGACATAGAGGTGACAGACTCAGATTCCTGTGTGGTCCCCGGGCTAGTAGGGCATAATAGTGACCAGGTGAGAGGTGAACAGATGTTGTAAAGGCTACCTCAGGTGGTGTTGGACTGTGTCACCAATTCCATCCTCTCTGGTTTCACCCCCTAAGAAACAAAGGGCTGGGAGGGAGATGGAAAGAAGCACCCTCTCCCTCAGGGTACTCTCGGCAAATATGGAGGATGGCACCTAGCTCTGAGGAGGCCTGTGCTTAAAGAGAAAACACTGAAACCGCTGTATCTTTGCTTCAGCTTGCTTGAACCACAATATTTATTTGGAATTTGAAACTCATTAAAAGTGGCCATGAGGTGTTTATCTAGGTCAACTTGAGTTATCAAGAGACCGAGAAAGCTTGGCTGACGTGATCTTGAAATCCCTTCTGAACCTTCAGTGTGGCTGAGGTCTATAACACAGGAAGAGGAGGAAGATGCTGTGAGACTTGGAAGTTGCTGTTGGTCCCCAGCTCCAGCTCAGACTTTGCCAGTTAGTCCCTGTGCAAGGCAAAGTCCTGGGGCGTCTGGAGTGTCCACTGTTTCCTTCATAACACACTGGTATCACAGGCTTTTGGGTTTATTTCAAATAAGCAGGCACCGGGCACATAACAGCTCCCAGCCAATTACAAAACTGTGCACAAAACTGGCCAAGGCTTCCCTCAGTATCCTACTCCATGGTCATAAAAGGGTCCTCCTGAATGCTTCCCAAGGGCTGCCCCCACAACACACACCATCAGGTCTTTTTTATGGGGAGGTAAAAGGTAGGTTTGAGCCTCAGAATACAGCTTCAGTGAATTATGGGAACTTAGGGTATGTGCTTGGAACCACTCCAGGGTTAAATATCTTTTGAAAATTAAAGTTTTTTTTTTTTAATTATCCTGAAAATCTTATCTACTGTGTTTTGATGTCCATCCATGCTGCTTTCCCAACCCTGACTTTCTGCATCTAACTGGAATTTTCAAATGCAAAAGCCAAGCTTGAAAGATCAGAACAGTTAAGCAGCGAATATTGAGGAGTGCTTCTGTTTGCATTACCAGACAATCTACAGTCTCCATTTCCTAGCTCTGGCCACAAGAATTAGACCAGGAGTCTAAAGAGGGAGGAAAGGAAAGGGAGAACTCTGACCCATCCATGTCAACATAGGCTGTTTGAGAAACAATTGTGTGATAAATACAGTGAATTGCCCTTAGTTCTGGGACCCACAGTGAGGGTAGTCTTAGAGGCAGTTAGTATGAAAGGCCTGAACCTGAGCATGAGCCAGTTCAGCCTATTTCTTAGTTCACTAGTCACAGCAGTAAAGAGCTCAGGTTTGGACAACTCCACTAGACCAAATATACCATCCAGAGACATCACCATTCTCCAAGTAAGCAAAAGATACAAGCAGGGAGACTAGCACCACTGAGCACCGACTGTGTGCAAGGTGTCTTGTGTAGACTGTGTTACAGTATGAGGCTCACTGAAACCTATATAAGAAGAAGCTCTGTGTTTGCTAAGGAGGTGACCCCAAATTGTGCACTACTGGCTGTACCCCCATCTCCTTACTGAGTGCCTCATAGCCTGTGGGCACCAGAATATCATACTTTGTAGCTACATGCCTTTACACTAGTCACTTAACCTCTCCATGCCTCCATGTCCCCTAGTGAAATGGAATGTTAATAAGACCTCTCTCGTACTGTAATTGTAGAATTAAATGAGCTGGTTAGTGGAAAGGGTTAAGGCAGTGCTGGCCAATGGTTTCCACCCTGTGTATACAGCCTGCGAACCTGCCAGATGCTGGAGCTCACCTTATCCTCACCCAGTGTCTGAAGAAAGTGCACCTGGCAGGGTCATCCGGTTCTTAATTGGCCCAAGAGTCCTACTTAGACCTGCCTAACAATAACAAGGGAAACAGAACACTTCATTAATTGTTTTTTAAATGTCCTAGGCTTTATAGACATGTATATATTCAGTTTTCAAAACAATTATATGAGGTAAGTGTTGCCAACCCCCAATTTCAAGATGCAGAAACTAAGACTGAGGGAGATCCAGTCATGTTCTCAAGACCATAGAGTTGATGATCGTCCTTCAGAGGTTGAAGTATAGGCAGGCCCTACCTCACCCCCTGGGACTGGCCATAAGACTCTGACTCTGGGCTATGCTGTATTTAGCCAGCCTGGAGCAGTGACCTGCACCCTGACACACACACACACACAGACACACACACACACACACATACACACACACACACACACACACACACACACACACACACACACACACAATACACCAAGGGGACTTAGAGGAGGGAGCAAGCAGACAGGTTCCCACAGAGAGAACTTTCTGGAAAGGGACTGTTGCCCACCAGCTAAACCCATAGTCCTTAGCCTGAGCTGCTCTGGTTGCTCAGAGTCGGTCTCTCTGGCCCCCCAAAGTCCATGAGAAGAGAGTTGGAAATCTCCACTTGGCTCACTCCGCTCTTCCTCTCAGCTGATGTGGCCAGGCTTGGGTTTGGGCAACTGTGCACAGGACATCAAGTATATGTATGGAGTGGAGGAAAGTGTAGAAACTGCAGGATTTTCTTTGTATTTCCTATTTTCAGCTAAAATCATTTTTAGTTTTACAGACTTCTTCATTACTATTTTCATAAGAATGTATATTTGTAACTTGAGGACTAGTCTGTCACCCAGGAGGCTCAGCCTGTGGCTTACAGTGTGGTTCAATCCTCATTTGACATACCCACCAGAGGGGACATTCTGGCTCCAGTCCATCTCTTAATCAACATGGGCCAGTTTTTACCCCCACTTCCCACCACAGGTTAGTTAGTACTTTTGCAGTGTCGTTGATATTACGCACGCTGGAAGAACGACTTGAGCTTTACCGTACACGTTCAGTCAGAATTTCTCACTCTGGCATTTGGGGAGCCGGCAGGAACTTGGTAGCAGTGCAGGAGCCCGAGTCACGGAGCCAGACTCTGGCTCTACCTCCTGCGTGGCTGGCACAGAGGACTAGACCTGTGGGGACCTGCTGCTGAAAGCCCAGGCTTTGTTTACATACGGAGCTAAGGGTGGAAACTGGCCTTGTATGGATGAAACGCTGGAGGGCCACTGGGGGAGGCAAAGAGAAACAGCCTGATAAGAATCTGCAAGTAAGTACGTGAAAGAATGCACTGAAACTCCCTCCCAGGATCACAGAAACCCGACCGAAATTCGACCTTAGGGACCCGCCTGCATGCCCCATCTTGCTGGCTAGACAAGCAACCCGAGGCTAAAATGGCTCTTGAATTGTCTCCAGGCCAGGCCACCTGCCTCCCGTAACCTTCCTTCCTAGCTCTGCCTGTGGGCTCTGACTGTAGGGCAGGGGGGTGCAAGCCTGTTAGAAGGGAACCTCGCTTTATTGAGCACTTACTAGTACTGTTTCAACTGCTATGATGTTATCTCATTGATTCATTCCGGTTTTTCATCTGGGAAAGCTCAGTGCCAGACAGGCTAAGTCACTTGCCCAAGAATACAAAAGCCAGGTGGATGGAGTAGCTTGGATACAAAATTTAACGCTGTCTCCACCTTCCCCCACCCAAAGGCGATGCCCAGAGAGGTACCAGGGCCGAGGTACGCGGTGACAGTGTCTCTGGGCACCACAGCTCCCCGCCCCCCCCAACACACACACACACACACACACACACACACACACACACACACACACAACCCCGGCGGCAGGGTCATTCACCTGCCAGTCTACTGGTCCACAACTTACTAGCCCCACCCGCTCCGCTGATTTAGCAAGCGGAAGTTGCGCGCCCAGTGACTGCTGACCCAGAGACGCTGGTCCTGTCCTACCCCTGGTAAAGGACTGACAGGTGCACCCCGCCGGGCGCAGTTCTCTGGTCTCCGCCCGGATCGCAGCCCTGCATCCGGTCCGGAAGCAATGGAAACTGGTCCTGCCGCAGAGTTCCAGGTAGAGCCCTGCCCACGCCCACCCCACTGCTGCCCCAAACAGGTTTCTTCACTTTCCCTGTGCCGACTCTTGCCCCAGGCGGGAAAAGGAAGCTGATTACTCAATGTACCCGAGGATTGTTCTGGTTCCCAAGAGAACTAGCCACCAACCAATCAGCCAGCTGGACCCTAGTGAAGCCATGGAAGATACTAGGGCTACAGATCCTAGGGCCACCTAGCAAATCTTTGAGGGTCCTCAGGTGACTTCCATGCTCTGTGCTCAACATCAAATCCTACGAAGAAAGTGAGCTGGATGTAAGGGGCCACCAGGATCAATGAGATTCACCAGGCTGTGAAGCATGCCGGAAGCCAATATTGGTTTGCCCAGACAACCTGTTACTGGACCACCATCACGAGTCCTAGCCAGCTACCCCAAAGCAGACTTTTCTGGAAGCCGCAGCTCATTTGTTTCAGCGGGCTTGGCCTGAAGAAAACCCAAACAAGTAGTGGGATGCTTTTATTCCCGAGTATTTGTGACATAGCTGTAGGCACCAAGGATACCAGCTTGACCAACACATATCCTTGCCCTCAAAAGTCCCATCCTAAAGAGCACAAGAGGTTTCAAGTCATTTTGAAAGGAAGTGATGTACACAGACCAAATTTGAGTTAGAAGGTTTACAATGCCTAAAACCAGCATAGATGCCTATGGATACATCATATCCAGTATAGCATCTACCACTGGGATGTTGTTAACAGGTGAAAAACTGGTTCAGAGAAATGTAATGCTTTGTCCAATATTCTATCCAGGTCTCTCAAATCCAACTCAATCTCCATCTTAGGAGCCCAGCTTCTGCCACAGAGTTATCTGACCACAGCCCTGGGGCCAATGCTCCTGGCTATACGTTCCTCAAGATACCCAGAGCCCCTCTGATGAGATGAAAGAGCACTCCACAATGTCCAAGGGTCCTCTGGACTTGACGAGACACCAACCCACACTGGCATTTTCCCCTGGCCACTCTTCTCCCCTTGAGTCCCAGCATCTGCACCTGCTCCAGCCTGGGAAAGAACACGGCATGTGAGGCCATCCCTGTTCCAGTGAGTGACCCTCTTGAGAACCAGGCATGCAGGGACAGATCCTGTCATCCACAGATGTCTCAACAAACAAAACAGTTTGGCAATTACATATACCCTTTGCCGAAGTTTCTGCAATCTTCCTGGACTCCACGGAACTGCTGCCCACTCTGGCGTCACCACAGAACTGCCTAAAGGTCCTTGCATTGACTTATTTACCTAGCCAGTATTTTGGCCTCCATGGCATGTGTGTCATTGTACTCTGAGCTGCTGATGCTCTCTCTGGAGACTTGGAACTTCTGCAGCCACCTGAGATGAAGAGAGTCCCTGGAACAAAGTTATACTAACCTAGAAGTCCCACAGGAGCAGGCAGGCACCACCACACAGTAATTGCTGGGCAGGGGTGTGCTATGTTGGTTAGTTTTTTTTTTTTTTTTAAAGATTTATTTATTTATTATGTATACAGAAGAAGGTGCCAGCTCTCATTATAGATGGTTGTAAGCCACCATGTGGTTGCTGGGAATTGAACTCAGGACCTCTGGAAGAGCAGTCAGTGCTCTTAACCTCTGAGCCATCTCTCCAGCCCTATGTTGGTTAGTTTTTGTCAACTTGACACTAGAGTCACTTGGGAAGAGGAAACCTCGGTTGAGGAGTAGCCTTCATCCGACTGGTCTGTGGGCATGTCTGTGAGGAGATTTTCTTAATTTTTGGTTAATATGGGTGGACCCAACCCATTGTGGGTAGTACTACCGCTGAGCAGGTAGACCAGGGCTATATAAAAAAAATGTAGCTGAGCAACCAGAGGAAGCAAGCCAGTAAGGAGCACTCCTCCATGGTCTTTGCTTCAGTTCCTGCCTTGAGTTGCAGCCCTGACTTCCCTTGATAATGGTCTGTAACCTCTAAGTCAGTGGTTCTCATCCTTCCTAATGCTGAGAACCTTTAACACAGTTCCTCATGTTGTGGTGACTTCCAACCATAAAATTATTTTTGTTGCTACTTCATAGCTGTAATTTTGCTGTTGTGAATTGTAATGTGAATATCTGCATCTCCCAATGGTCTTAGGAGACCCCTGTGAAAGGGTCGTTCAACCCGAGGAGTCACGACCCACAGGTTGAGAACATCCTCCCTGTTGCTTTTGGTCACAGTGTTTATTACAGTAACTAGGACATATGTCTGATGCTGGATACCTAAATACCAAATAAACCATTCATTTCCTACAGATTGCTCTAGGTCCTCCAATTAGACAAAATAATCACGGTTTTAGGAGTCAAAAGAGAGAATCCAGGAAGAAAAAAAGAAGGAAGGAAGAAAGAAAAGACCTCTCTTCTCTAACTCCCCCTCCTTTTGTATGGCGGGAGATCCAGCCCCAAGAGATCTGCAGCCAGCTCCTGGTCACTGCTTTTGTCTACAGGCTGTCCTGAGTTGGGCCCTGACCCTAAACTATAAACACATTTTCACAGAATTCCCACAACAGCCACCTGGGCTCTGAGCACAAGAAAGGAGGAGGGCAGTAACTCTGTTGTCAGATGGCTGAAGAGAAAGAGGCTGAGAGAAACAGAGCCGAGTGACCTGCCATGGTCACATAGATCCCCAATTTCTCCACCCCAGGCTCCAGTGCAGGCCCAGCACCCACACTTTCCTTTCACAGACTTAAGAGAATGACTTATAGGTAGACTTGTGCCGCAGAGCTTTTAGGATTTACTCCCCGCCCTCCCCCCCCCCCCCCCCCCCCCCGAGACACACACACACACACACACACACACACACACACACACACACACACACACACACTGCTCGCATGCTCACGTCACGGCTGTCCTTGCAGTGCACACAGGCTCATGCACGTCCGTGTCTTGAGCACTTTTCTGTATGGAGGTTAGACTTTTTAAA